TGAGTCCAAAAGTCTTGGGTCCATTTTACACTGCAATCTAATCCAGATTATCTAAGCAGATAATCCACATTATCTGCTTTGAACTGGATTATATGAGTCTACACTGCCATAAACTCCAGTTCAAATCATATAATCTGGATTTTATATGGCAGTGTAGAAGGAGCCTTGATCTTCTTAAAGTACTCACATGATTTCCCTTTCATGCTAGCATCACACAGAAGAGGTACAATTGAGGCTACATGGTTGCTTGTGTCTTTCAGTACTGATGACATATTTGAAAAATACTTCCAAGTGTATGTTTGGAAAGGAGAATTAGGCAAAAAGTTTGAATATTCTTGCCATGGGGCCATTCACCTAATACCACCACTAGCACCATACTTTCTAATGTTAGTATGATCAAAATCAACAGCCAGTTCGACACATGCATCATAGCACTTCCCATGACATGATGATTTCTCATATTTGCTGTTTGCAAATTCAGAATACATTAAGAAACTATCCATGCACATTACCCTAATTCTTACATTTGATAGCTAGCCAGACTTACCTGCCATGTTTTACACTTCCTTAATATCAGCTTTCATTTGGTGTCTTCTTAACAAAAAAGTTTTATAAGTGCCAAATCAAACTCCCATCCACTCCATTTTGTCACAAACAAAACACGTGCTTATGTTTCTAATGTAGCTTCAATAGAGAAGAAAATCCTGACATTTTTCCAGAATGATGCTTAGAACTCTTGCTTTAATAAATAAAAAATCCTTCCATCACATTGTGAAACCATAGCTCTGCTTCCCACTGATACATCATTATCCAGTGGACAAAACTATAAGACACTGTTGCTTACAGCATAATGAGAAATCTATCCTCACTGCATTCTTTGTTGTCATAAAGCAACCAAACCGAGATGAAGCTTAATGGGTTGTCACATTAAAATAAATTGTTTGCTTTTACAAAACGTAATAGGAGATATTTTTATTTTCCATTTGAGAGAAAATTGCTAAGTAGTAGGGTACTTGTAAGGAAAGTAAATGCTTCCACAGTTTCCATGTGATGCCAGAGAAGTTTTGAAGGGGAAATTGATATTTCTCAATCTGTGCATGACGTACAACCAGGTTAGTATCATAAAACCTCCAGATGAACTTCAGATTCCCATTGTAAATAACTGGTAAAAAATCAGCAAGAGATGTATCTTTATCTTCTGTGACTTGAACAGGAATGAAGATATTTATATCTATATGTACAAACCAGCGTATCTGTACAAGGAAGGGTATATTGCCATTCAACTACTGCTTATTAATTAGATTAAAGGATCTAGTGGCTCCTTAAAGAATATCCAATGTCATTTGATATAGTTTTTCATGGACCAGAGCCCACTTCATCAAATACAATGAAATGGCCTGTGAAAGGGTATGCTAAATAATATTTGATAGTTTTTAAGGTACTACGTTCCTCCTGCCATCTCAGCACTTTTAACCCTGTACCCCACTGCGCCGGCCGAACCAGTTTTTAACAGTGTCTTGATGTACTGATGTATTGTCATTGTTGTTATTTTGCTTAATTGTTTTGATTTGCTTTGTTATTGTTGTGTTATGTTTTCTATTGTAGTGCGTTCTGAGGCTTCGGCCCGTGTAAGCCGCATCGAGTCCTTCGGGAGATGCTAGCGGGGTACAAATATAGTTAATAAATAATAAATAAATAAATAATAAAACAGTAACATGACTATTCCCCTGGAATTTTCGATGCTCCACCTTCTCACTAGAGATGCAGATTTGGATACAGGTTTGCTTTCACCAATTTTCATGAAAGTAGTAATAAATGACTATTATACTGGACAGGAAAGAGGCTTTGAAAAAACATGTAGCAGTTGCAACTGCAAACTAATAAAATTATTTACAATGGAAACCTCATAAATGTTATCTAGAAGTTGATTGTAGTTCCAGGGAAGCAGGAGGCTTAATGGCAAATACCATAACTGATATTCAGATGCAGGAATGAGATGTTTGGGAGCAGGGATGGGGATGAAGGGGATGTGTTGCATTTATAACAGATCTTACATTTCAAACGCAATATCAATCTATGAGCAAATTTATTCAGTTCAAAAGGGACTCCACTGTGACTCCATTTGCAGACATTCTACCATAATTCCACCTGCAAATGAATGCCTGTACTTCCTGGCCTAGAGATGGAAAGAATACTCAAAACATAGTTGCAAAAGCGAATCTTGGATCTGCAAGAAGCTTTGTAGCTTGTGACTGTGCAAACCTCACACATGGATGCTTTATGCAGAAAACAAGATTTTCCTTTCAATAAGGACCTATTATTTCCTGTCCAGCAAATTTTGTTTTCTGTGCATAAAATGCTTTAAGTGGGGATTTGTTCTATGAAAAATTTTCACAGCCATATTTGCACAGAACATACATTTTTTGTGGTAGGAACAGTATCGTGTGTGAACACGATGTTTACTACATCAAAACTGCTGGTTCAGCACAAAACCATTCAATGTGAATTTTGCATAGAATAATTGCCAAATTGTGGATAGACTTCAAAACCTACACAGGTTTTGTAAACTTTCTGGCAATTGGGAGAAAATTATCAAAATTACTTGTTGCTTCCCTCAAAAAGAAATTTAATGAAGAATTACATCCCTAGTGTGGCCACAAGGAATTGTTGTCTTTTTGGAATCAGAGAGGCTTTAAAGCTACCACGAACTCCAACATCAAACCATGGGGGACTCTTTTTCCAGCTACTGCCAATCTGTTTCCCCAGGCTTTGAAAACAGTGAAAAGAGTTAACGGGGAGGGGGAGTGTTGACTAATTGCTTTAGATCAGTAGTTCTCAACCTGTGGGTCCCCAGATGTTTTGGTCTTCAACTCCCAGAAATCCAAACTGCTGGTAAACTGGCTGTGATTTCTGAGAGTTGTAGGCCAAAACACATGGAGACTCACAGGTTGGGAACCACTGCTTTAGATATTCTATTGAAGTCATAGAAAACCCTCGGAAATTTCAAAATCTTCAATCTGTGCATTCAATACAGTTGAATTAATGCCTGAGTTAGAATAATCATTTCAATTCTGTATGGGGTGTATAATAGCCAAATAGGCTATAATAAATTTAAGGCAATGAAATTTAAATGGTAGTATTAAATGAAATCTCAAATCCTCCACCCGTGTACATGATGCCCCATTTCATTTATTCAAGCAAAAGGTTGCATTTGTAGCCCCAGTCAACTTACCAAGGTAGCTGTAAAAATGGTATTGTATTCCTAAAATTGTTCAGAATTGCTCAAATTTGCCACTGCTTGAAAAGTAGCACATACTTAGCCCACCATATTCTGATTAGAATAAATATTTTAGAATGCACACACACACACACAATTAACTTCAATTGTATCTCCAAATAGATATACCCAGTTCACAATTCTCTTTTAACATTTAGCCATATAGCTACATGGACAAGGTAACATGGACAAACTTAGCAATGCAGGCTTCCTTGTGTATGTTTAAATTAACAATACATTTTAACAAACATCTTCTAAACTATTTATGTATTAAAAATGTTTGTGTGGGGGGGCGCAAAGCTTTTATTTCATTCCTGATGTTTCCTTACCCTCCTCATTGCTATGATTGGCAATAGAGGAACAAGAGACAGCTGAGCAAGCAGCTGAGAAAAGAGAACTATCAATGGCCATTGTAGTCAGTGTCAGATTGGCCTTCTCCACCTAACCCTGCCCCTCTAGTGGGCATGGCTATGCAGTTGACAGGGTAGTAGTGGGCAGAGGACAGTCCCTCCCACTGACCACTATATAGCTATCTTGTTGAGAAAGGACAGGGAATGACTAAGAGTATTCACCTATCATGAGCTGTTATAATTTTTGCTAGGTGACTTTCCTCACCATCTTGTTCTCTCACTTATCTCACAACATGACTGTGCTGATGGGAGGAACTGGGAAGATAACTGTGCAAGGCTAACCTGTCAATGATAGTGGCAGATAAGCCTTGTGCAGTTATGTTCCCAATTCCTCCCATGAGCACAGTCATGTTGTGAGATAAGTGAGAGAACAGGATGGTGAGGAAAGTCACCTAGCAAAAATTATTACAGCTCATGATAGGTGAATACTCTTAGTCATTCCCTGTCTTTTCTCAATAAGATAGCTATATTGTGGTCAGTGGGAGGGATAGGTGACAACTTAACAATGGTATCATTACTGGTAACATGAGTCAAAGTTGGATGTCCTCCCTCCATTCCTTTCATTAAAATGACAATGTTATACCCAATGGGAGGAGATGGGAGCAAGCAAGTGAACAGCCATGCAATGAGAATCATTTATTCACAGCTATAATAGTTTGAACATGATGAGGTAGACATATTCTGGGACCTAACAGGGTAGAGGTCTTGGAGGATGACATCATAAATTTGTGCTTGGAAGTTAGTGGTGATCCCCCTTGCTCATCTGCCCCCACCCTCTTGGCATTCTCCACATTGGCATGTATAGGGAATATTGTGATCTGGCTTGTGGGTGTGTAGTCTTCAAGTATATTTCATGATCTGGGGGAGCGGTGGGGGGGGGGGGATGGAATTTTAGCAGGACTCCAATCAGAAGTTTCTTGTTCTAAAGGCCATTTGTCATCCTCCCTCATAATCATTTAATCTTCTTTCCACCCCAGTGCAACCTCATTAGATCTGTATATGTGGTGGTTTAACCATAGAATTGGTACCATTGCTATCTCTCAGTTCTGCAGATATTTGTATTATGTATTATTGTTATTATTGTTATTGTTATGCAATACAGCCATAGAAATGCTGTATTGCATAGACACTACTATAACAGCAGACTTGTGAAAATGCAGCTGCTGAATAAGCAAAGAGCCTTCCTGCAAACCTCCTGACTCCAGAGGGCAACACAGACATCCTGGAACAAATGTGACATTCATTTTGATGGATGGCTAACATGGCACATCTCCACTGACTCCCAAGACAGCTTGATTAACTTGGCAACTTACGTCATTATCTGTGTTTCGATGCCTGGCTCCACTAGGGAGCCATCCACAAAGAGCGGTGCTGATGTGAAACCATATTTATTCCAGGTTCTTCCTTCATCGAAACTCACCCTGTGATGGAAACAGATGAGATAAATACACATAAAAGGGTTTCAGTGGAACCATTTCGAAAGTAATTAAGCACCTCCTTAGGCTGGTGAGTGACAGTAGCTGGATTTATAAACAGGCATCAATCTTTTCAATTGTGTCTTGTTATTAATTAATGCTCTGCTTCGCAGTGCTCTGGAGAAGTAATGCACCATGAACAGTTATCAAAGTCAATGAGGGGCAGCATTGCCTGCATCAAACTACAGCTTAGCTCTGACTGGGGGACACTGAAGCATCTGGCAAAAGAAGGATTCACTTCAGCCGGTGCAGTGAACTCTTCTCCCTTATTTTGCTGAGAGGGTGAAGAAATTTCTTCAATCAAGAGAGTTGCAAAAATCTTCACAAGATTGTAGTTATTTTGAATCCAATCTATACATTTCTTCTTATGTCAACCAAGTAATTAATTAAACATAAGGAATCATGTTGAGTGTTACAGTTGTGGAATCAGCCGGTTATGGAACCAGTGTAGCCGCTTTGAGTCTTCTTGTGGAGAGAATAATCAGGGTACAAATAAACAACAATGTAAACAAAACAAGAATGAGTAGTTAGACTTTTTTTTACCAGCTGATGGAAAGAGGCACCTGAGAACTCTTTAAAGAGAACTGTTTGCCTGGGTTGCTCCACATTTTATTGCATTGCTTGGATGGCTACTTGAGTTCTCCCTAAAATCCCTCAGCATAGCATGGCTACAAAAACAGGGTCTCAGCTAATATTAAACCAAACATTTTAAATACAGGAAGAACATGTTGCAATTCTACCATAAAGTAAGCACATTATTTTGAAACTGTGCAAAATGTATGCAAGGAAGTGACTTATTTAATCAAATGATCACATACAATCAGTCATCCACATCCATGGATTCTGCACCTGTGATTTCCACTATTCATGGCTTCAAAATATCCCACTTCCCTCCATCCCACCCCAACCTCAATAAAGAAAACCTTGGGTTTGCCATTTTGCAGAAGAGACATCATTTTACTATGCCATTGAATATAATGGAACTTGAGCATCCATGATACCCACGAGGGATGGTGGAACCAAACCCTCTGTATTTGTTAGTTGCAGTCCACATAATTTCGAGATGAATTTGAATTTTCCTATTTCCAATGGGAGGCAAATTTAATTTGAATTTCTCTCACTAATGTGCAAATTGAACTATTGCTAATTTTGCTTAGGTTTTAATATTTCACAAAAATAAATGACAAAATATGTATTTGTGAGATACATGCCTGTAAGCATACATAGTTTGACAGAAAATACTTTCAAAACAGATGTTTATATTTTTATACCTATATCTCCTTTAGCTTTTAAATATTCCACAAAGAATGACTGATAAAACATGCATTTTGTAGATATGTATATTTAGGAATGCATCATTTGAGAGAAAATCATTTAAAATAAATGTTTATTTTTCTTAAAATGGAGATGAATACAGATATTTGATACACAAAGTGGGAAATATTATTTGAGATAGACCAATTCATGGACCCCTGCAGTGAACTTAATATTATTAAATCTTCCTCAAACATTTAAAGTAGCTGCATTATTTTTAGAAGCCCCCCAGTCTTTCCTTGTTAGGCTGTGAAAATGCTAGAAAATCACTTTAGTCCTCTTTCATCAATTTTATTTTAAAACTGTATTTGGTCTGCAACACACAAGGATTTTCCTACTGAAATTAAGAAAATGTTGATTTTTTACAAAACACTAACTTTTTGCCAACATATCCACTGTGGAATATTTAATTCTGCTGCATTTGTCAATTTTGAATCACACCACAGTTTCCCATCTCAATTACTCCATGAATTTTGGACTTCTGAGTGACCCTGTCTTGTCTGTGAATCACATTAATAATTCTTTGTTTGCTTAGAATGGAGAATTCTTAATGTGATTCACTAGCATTTCAGAGGTCCAACTTTGGGGCAGAATCTGGAGTATTGTTGTGGTTCAGCCAGGTGAAGATGAGGGATTTGGGGGTTCAGGGCATGATAATTCTCTAGCTGAGCAAACAGAGGGGGGTTAAGAGCAGGATGGTTCTTCAGCTGAGAGAATGGAGGGGGATTTGGAGCAAGATGCTGTTGCTGAGACCAAGTGTGAGATTGAAACTGTTTTGGAAGCCAACAGGCAGGGGAGGATACATTAGCTCATCTGAAGAAGCAGCTCTCTTAGACAGAGATACCAGGCTGCTTCTGAGAAGATAGAGATTCAGATGAAAGAAAACCCATGAGAAAGAGAGACTGAAGCAGGCCTCCCAAGGTCAAAGGAATGAGTTCATGTTTTGCAGTCCTTAATTTGGGAGAGAGCTTTTAGGATTTTAGATCAAGCAACATCGCTACTGGAGTGTGGAACTCCTGTCTCGTTCCTGGTTCATGCCTTAGTTCAAGACCCAAAATTCATGGTCAAGTTTTACTCCTTGTTTTATGGATTTAACTTTGGATTCATGCTCATTTTCTGCTTCTTGTTTCCTGGATTGTTTTCTGGATTTATCTATTGCTTTTGGGACTTGCTTCCTTTATTAACTCTTGGATTTTTACTCTTCTATTTGCTTAAGGTGCCTTTGGCCCTTTTTATATAAGTTGTATCAATAAACTGTTTATTATCACATTTGTTTTTTTGGTGAGTGCTGTGAGCAAGGTGAACTGCTGAGGTGCAACAAGTATATATATATATACTAATAAAATAGAACATTATAACCCAAGTGATTGAACCTTCTTCCCTTCTTACATTCCCACCACAGATATATCCACATGTTTTGACATTCTGTTCTGCAGGGTTTCTCATCCACCTGAACCCAATTTCTATACTGTAGAGTGGTCTGCAGAGGAGAGAAGAGAATAGATTCCCCATGATAGAAGGAAATCTCCTTGAGTCCTCTCCGGGATGCAAGAGGTGGGGTATAAATAAAGCAAATAAATAATAAATAAATATAGATTTGGGCAGCACAAATATAGTAGATCCTTATCAAAATGTTAACTAAAAAAATCCCCATCTTGCACAGAGTTCAAGAGCAAAGGTGCACATCAAAAATCATATTGCAAAATTATATTATTAAAGATGACCCTTCTGCCATTCCTAATCAATCATGCATGCCAATAACATACAAGAGAATAGAGTACATTGAAAATTTAGGTATCTACTTTAATTCAAAAATTATATTTTAAGGTGTCCTAGCTCATAGAAGGACTGATAGAAAGTACAGAACAAACCCACAGGAGGAGAAATACTGGTTGTTTTTTTTCTTGTGTGTTGTCAAGTTGACAAATCTCACTTATAGCAACTCTGGCTCATGGAAAAAGTATGGTATCCTTTGAAAGATTTATTCAGAAGATATTTGCCATTGCTTTCCTCTAAGCCTGACTTGTCCAAGGCTTCCCAATGGGTTTCCATGGCTGATGAAGGATTTGAATCCCGGTCTGCCAGAGTCCTAGTTTAACAAAATTTGCAGAACAGAGGAGAAATAAAAATGGGAAATATGCTAATTTCTCTATTGTGGACTTTAAGAAAAATCCACAGAATAGTCACTATTGTGGAGTGAAACATGGACAGTAGAGTTTAGTATTGGTTTATCAATAGTGTCATTAATGAGTTGGGTATACCTCTGGAAGTACTAACCTCAGCCATACAAAGACCTTTATTGCTTACAAGGCTCATGGAAGAACAAGGTCTCTAACTGTCTCTTCTAGGTAGGACTAATCTATACCTTATTTCATATTTATGACAAAACTATACAAAAAACACATAATTAAGTATACATTTTATACCAAGTATAGGTCCAGAGTCCATAATCCAGACAGGAAGATGAGTGCAAAAGAAAAACACAGCTCAACACACACACTTTTGTATGGACACTTTTTATAAGGGAAATTGAAGCAGAGGGGTTAAAGGTCCTTTGCTCTCCACAACTATCTTTTCCCCCAGATTGTTGTCTTCACAACTTCATTAGATCAAAAAGGAAACACACATGATTGTTGTCTTTAATATTGCCATCATTCACACGTTTTACTCCATTTATTCTACTGGAGATACCTTTTGAATCAGACTTTTCAACAGAACATGCCATAGTGATTACTAGTTTTAGAAAGGAAACAACTATAAAGTCTACATTACGCAATGTAATCACAGAAGAGCTTTAGTCAAAGCCTGAAACTCTTCACAATAGTTTCATGGCACCTGGGGCTGGGAAGATATAGCAGTTTACATTCTGTGGCCTAAATCCAATTGCTCCAGAAAGCATAGTTGAATAAGTAGGATTTACATAAGTGTTGATTTATCGCTCAACAGTTGATTCAATGAGTCTACTTGAGTTGCTAGCAGTAATTGGATTTTGATCTGTTTTTCTTTGTGAACATACTGGTAAATAAAGAGGTCAGAAAAAGTGAATTGGATGAAATGGGGCCACTTTCATTTAAGAAAACAGCAAGAATTGATTGTGTAGGAACCTAACTATTTCATGGTCATGCAGGGCAAGCAACTAAACTGAATTATTTGTGCAAGCCAAAGTTTAGTAGGAGTGGAAATTATAAACAGACATATTTTTCAATTTTTCCAAATATAAATGTATGTTTTGATTAGTGATGATTTGTCTCATTCCCATTAGTGGAAGGAGAAACGTTAACAATTTTCTCTTCATCTGCATGAAAGCAAGGTATTTTTGGCACTTTAAAGAAGAGTGTTCACATTTTCGAGAATGATTTCTTTGTCATGAATTAAAAGAGCAATTTCTGCAGAACTTATGGTAGTTACTGCCTGGCTACATGTACTTTTAAAATCAGTAATTCTGTATGTGTGTGTGTGTGTGTATCCCTTTATTCAGACTATTTTTTTGTGTGTTTGTGTGAGTTGCTTTGAAAAGAAAAGATAGATGATTTTTACAGATATTGTGGGTGCCAATTACAGAAACATTCACAGAAAAAGATTTTCCCTGCCTTGTAATCTCACTGTTTGAGGGAAAAATCCAAATATTTGTCACATTTTACTATGGGTAGTCCCTGGGGTATGAACAAGATAAGTTCTGTAGTTTTTTTTTCTTAAGTTGAATTTGTATGTAAGTCAGTACATGAACATTTTTAAATGTAACTCCAGTCATCAACTCCCCCCCCCCTTATATATATATAGAGAGAGAGATTTGGACAGCATAGGGATTAACACCCCTGTAACATTTGTACTGTTGTTTGTGCCAACAATTGGATTTTGAAAATTTTGGATAGGAAACAAGGATGGTTATAATGCTTCAGTGGAGACAACCTTTTTCCACAATAACTTACAGGAGTGAATTTCCCTTCCTAGGGGTACATTTCCTCTCACTTCCTGTTGTCTCACCTCGTTTGCTACTAGGACTTGGACATTGGTAACTTAGGAACTGCTTGTATGCCTCTTTTATTCCAAAGAATTTCTTTGTAAGAGAAATTCCTTGTACCGTGTGTGTGTGTGTGTGTGTGTGTGTGTGTGTGAAAAACATGTTTTGTGCACAAGCAGAATTTCTTTTTAGAACAATTATCCCAAACTTTTGTATAGGGTTGAGACATGTCAGTATATAATTTCATATAAGCATATGAAATTTTGCAAAAAAAAAAATTACAGCAATGTCACAAAATTGCCCCTACTTCACCGTGTAAGGGAAAGTGCTTTTAAATATTTTGTTGCCTTTAAATCTTTAAGAGGAGATTTGTCTCCAAACAAATATTTGGTTTAGTGGAACCTTCCCTAAATTTCCCAAGAGGTTGGGTTGCTTCGCCAGTTCTCTCCTGACAGTTTGGTCAATAGTTTTATTGGTGAGATACAATGATGACAGCTGTATTTGAACACCTTGGGAAGACCAACTATATTAAGAGAAAGCCACTTTAATGAAATAACCTTTTAATTAGGGATGTCTGACTCTATCAACTTTGTGCATTTCTAATCCATAATCCCATTCTATTTTTAATCAATATGTATTTTTCCACAAAGTACTTATTCAAATGCATATATGAATATGTGACAAGCATTGAATATCAAAATAGATGCTAAGAACCAGAAAACTGCATTAATTCTTACTGGGGAAATAATTTTGTAGTTGGGTGAAGGAGCACCTTGTTTTTTGATTTCATTAATTTATTGTCAGAACCATCACAAGGTTCCTGCAGTTGGGAATGTGCCTGGAAAGGGGCAACCAATGACAGTTTGCCTGATTGTCTGGGGGGGGGGACTTGAGCAGTACTGGGGGAAGATTTCACTCTGGTCCACTCCTCAGATCTAAAGCAAGTTATTCTATGCTCCCCAAACCAGTAGGTTTTTTTTTCTTTTTGCATGGAATCCACATTTATTTGGGGAATAACAGGCAGGTCCTGGCGTAGGCAGTTGGAAGTCTTTGAACACAAAGAATAAAGTCTTGTCCAATTTGATGGCAATTGACTTTTCACTATTCTCCAGATGATAGGGGAGCCATACGGAGACATCTGCCAACCTGGCCATCCAATTTATGTCATGGGCTGGGCATGTGTGTGTTACCATCAGTTGACAATTATTATCTGATGTGTGAGTCTCATGCTGAGATCAAGCGTAAGAAGCTATAATCAATAAAAGTTGTGGCCTTATTTATTCCAATTATTATCATATTTTGAGTTATTTTGGGGCAAGCTCTTTCCATTCACTGCTGAATCCCCAATTGAAAATTGAGTAGATAAGTCTCAACTGCATATTAGTTTGAGAGATGCAGCTTAGATCTATTCGTATAGGAATTTGCAAACACAAAATTGTATCTCCAGCAATAATGAGTATCCCACTGGGACAGGCTGTAGATGTTGAGAAATGATACCTGTTACATCTTGAATATGTGAAATTGCCTCTGAATGTTACTATGTGAAATGAGAAGTTTCTGGTTTCACTTTATTAGCATCTAATTCCAATTATTAAGTACAGGAGATAGTTGTGGATTATAACAACTGTTGAACTCTGTTATTATCTGACTGAAAACCATAGTGGCTCACATTATATAGAAAGTCACAAGTGTCCATCTGCAAAATTATTTTGATTCACGTGCACAGGGTGTTTCTGGATGTCAGCTCCTGAAAGCTGTTTCCCTGTTATTTTTGCCATTAACAGTTCCAGAAGCTACAATAGGTCAACCCATTAAAAGAAACTCAGCACCCAATCCATTTACAGGGCTAACTAATAAATGCCAGTGGAAATTCCAGTTTTTGAATTATTTTGCATGAAATTAAGTAAAGAGAAAAGGTAGAACTACACAAATAAAAGGCAGCCACGTTTTTTTTTTGAACCAGTCCATGCTTTGAGACCTGCTTGAGAATCAATTCTCTCTTTCCTGCCACAGGTATATCTGGTGGGAAAACAGGAGAGGGCCTTCTCAATAGTTGTCACCTGATTCTGCAACTCTCTTCTCAAATAAGTTTATTGGCACTCTCTGGTTTTTTCCTCTAAAATAAAGATATTTCTTTTTTGAAGGGCAATAAATGATTAAGTGGATAATTCCCTTCCCAGCTAAACAGTGTGCTAGATTTTCCTTATATTTAAAATTTTCCAAATGTAAGATGAAACATTAGATGAAGCCAAGTTGATTGAGAGAAAACAAATCAGTGTGCAAAAATACCCAGTGTTTAAAAGTCCAGAAAATGGCTAAATTTTAGATATGTCGAAATAGCAGAACTAAAAATGAGTTGTTGAATAGAAAATACCTATATGTGGTAGGTATGTGTGTATGTTCAAGCTTTGAGTTCCATATTGGAGGAAAGGTGGGAAACAACTAACATAAAAACAACAATAATAAATACCAGGTAGAATACTTGGTCCATTTAGATCATTAGTGTCTACTCCAGTTGGCAGCACTTCTGCAGGAAATGTTCTCCAGGTTTTAGGAAAATTGAAGGGAGATGTTAACAAGCTGGAATGTGTCCAGAGGAGGGTGACTAAAATGATCAAGGGTCTGAAGAACAAGCCCTATGAGGAGCAGCCTAAAGAGCTGGGCATGTTTAGCCCGCAGAAGAGAAGGCTGAGAGGGGACATGATGGCCATGTATAAATATGTGAGGGGAAGTCATAGGAAGGAGGGATAAACTTGTTTTCTGCTGCCCTGGAGACGAGGATGGAGAACAAAGGCTTCAAACTACAGGAAAAGAGATTCCACCTGAACATTAGGAAGAACTTCCTGTGAGAGCTGTTCAGCACTGGAACTCTCTGCCCCAGAGTATGGTGGAGGCTCCTTCTTTGGAGGCTTTTAAACAGAGGCTGGATGGCCATCTGTCAGGGGTGTTTTTAATGCAATATTCCTGCTCCTTGGCAGGAGGTTGGATTGGATGATCCACAAGATCTCATCCAATTCTGTGATTCTAGGGCATTCTAGAGTCCAGGGACCTTCCATAATGCAAAGTGATATATAGAATGTGCCACTGCTTATCTGAGCATGGAAAGATTACTTTTTGAACAACAATTCTCAGCATATTCAAGCTAAAGACTTATTGGGGGTGCAATATGTCCAGGCAACATATGTATTGCTATTTCTGTTTGAATTTTTGATTCCCTGGAATATTTTCAAGCTGCCCTGGGGAGTCTGTTGAAGAGTGAATACAAATCTAATAAATGAATTCAGAGCACAGGAACTTGCTGCATGTTGTTCTTTTTTTGGTTACATTATGTTTTGGTTGTTTTAGCATGCATTTGGATTTCAGCTCTGCTAGAAGGCTTGCAGGTCCTTATTGTTTCAAAATGTTCAATGTAAATATTGTAATAGTAGAAAAAAGATAATAAGATAGCCTTAAGCAAGTCAGCATCATTTTTTCCCAGACTGGTTTTTTTTTCCAGGCATTTGCCAGGAAAAGAATGTCTTTTACATATTGCGTTTGTAAGACTTTAGAATGAGGTATGCATTCTCTAAATCAGAAGATAACAATTCTCAATTATCAAGGCACAGACACACAAGCTTACATATTTCAGGAAGAATTGTTCACCTGTACATTGTGAAAATAGCAAGATGCCAATGAAATCAGGAAGGTGACCGTGAAAGGATTTTTTTTCTGTTGTGGCACCACACTTATGGAATCTGCTCCCAGGAAAGCTTGCCTGGCATATACTGTGATATCTCTCAGGCACTGGGTGAAAATATTCTTATTTATACTTTCTAGTCTTTCATGTGAGCTTGTTTCAATGACAACTTCAGCAACATACCTGAATTTTACTGCTGTAAAGATTCTCTTTGGCAGTGGTAGGCTTTAAATGTGCCTTGAAATATATGCTAGTGCTTATCACTTTTACTGAATATTGACCTTGGAATATTTTCCAAAAGGACAGTGTATAAAATGAACAAATGATTGTTTTCTTTAAAAAATTGATTAAGATAAAATAAGGACTTTCTTTTTCAATTTACGTATTCATTTCCAGATGTCCTCTCATGGACTTGATCTGGATTGCGTTGATGATGTCTGAAAATTTTTAGCTGGAACAGCTATACAAGTGCAAAACACACACTGCTATAGAACCTGCATATATTGTCTGAATATAATAATCTGCAAAAGAGAACCATGCAAGTTTAAGTCTGCCAACAGAAGAAGCAAGGATTGGAAATGTTACTTTTTTTGCACACATCTCCCAAAATACCTCAGACACAGCATGGACAAGGCAGGAAAATTCTGGGATTTGCAATCCATAAAGGCAATTTGTTTTGGATTTGTAAAGGAGCAACTTCTCCCCTTAAAGAAGGCTTCCTTACCACACATGACGAATGGGCATTGATGTGTGTTTCATGGCTACAAGTGCTCCACCCCAGTCAAGGAACCATACACTGTATTCTTCTTCGAAGATCTGCAGACATGAAAGAGATGGCATGACTTGTACACTACTCCAAAGATTCATGAAGCATGTGATAACTGTTTTGAGAAAACTCAAGTGTTTCTTGAACTTGTTGGTTCTACAAGACTTACCTGTCTCCAAGAATTTCCAGCATCAGAAGAAACAAACATTCCAACTTCAGTATATGATAATTCTGGACCTACATTGCCTGAAAAATAACAAGACACAAAATAAACACCTGTACAGTTGAAGAGGAATTACAGGTTCATATATGCAAAGTCAACTCTTGAAAACTATTCACTGAGTATTCAGTGTAGAGAAAATTGAAAGTTGGTATGGGCTGATGAAAGGACTGAGTGAAGAAAACCTTCAAATATATGTAATTAATAACTGAAACACATGAATTAATGAATTTGTGTTTACATGAAGTCATGCTGTGATTTATGTGCAATACACCAATATATAAAAGGGCACAGATTCCTGCTTAAGCCATCCATTCAATTAGGGTTATTTCCTTTTGGTGTTTGTTAACATTTAATTGTTAGGACACCATACAAAGTCATAAATAGCATGCACATGAACCAGACTTTAATGCTTTTAAATAAAAACCCAACTTGCCACTTGAACCAATTAATTTGCATTTCTGGTATGTGAGCAGAGCTCAAGTAATTGAAATAGTTGGATGCTGAAAAATTAATTATTCCCTGTTTCCCATTTTATATTTTTACACAAATTCAAAAGGTTAGAACAATGAACACAAACCAAACCAATAACCCCACCCCCACCCCCAACTCATTTGAAAAACAGATTATTAATTCCCTTTAGGGCACATCTAATTCTGTACAATGTTTCTCCAGGTCTTAGAAACATTTGTTCAAAATAATTGATCCCTACAATTATAAAAGAAAACCTTCCTTTTAGGTAAAGTAAGGCAGCTGCTTCAAGCAGAAGATTTGGCTGCTGTTAAATGACAGCTAATTATTACGTATTTCAAGTTATTATTATTGTATTCTTTGATTGTCAGGGAGATGGAGACATGCTTGTGAAACTTGCTGCCTCGTATGTCACAGTAATTTGCCAAAATAACTTCCAGTACAATTCAACCTGACATGAATGAATCATGGAACTGTAGACATAAAGAACCTGAGGTTATTTCCCCCCAATCCCCTATCAATGTAGGAAACACAGAACTATACAGAGTCCATGACATAATGGCTATCTAGAAAGAGCCCATCTGTCTGTTGCAGGCAAATTGTCTTGAATCAGCTCCCTATAAACCACATAATACCCAATCTCATGTCCCTGGTTCAAGATTCCTTCTGTTTCTCAACTATTGCAACCACATCCTAAATTTGTGTTAAAATCTCAATGTGACTAGCATGGAAGCAACTGTGTCCTGTGTTTTATATCTTCTAGGTACTCTAAGGACATGCTAGTCACATTGAAATATAGACTAGGAAATCTACATTTCAATCCACTGCTTAATCCCGAAATGATTATGACTGTAGAAAATAGAAGTATAGCTATCCCGCATCCTTGATTTGGTTAGCAGATATTAGTGAATCTGGCATGAAAATTCAGTGCTGGCACCAGTTAAAGTACTATCCCTCTTTTCTTTTCTTTTTTCCTTTTTTTTCTTTTGAAAATTGTATTAATTTTTTTATATATTTGGAGGCAAATCTCATTTTAGCAGCAGTGGATATGCCTGTGAGACCTGCTGCAACATGACAAGAAAAAAACATTATGTCAATATTCCACTGGCACTGATTAAAATTTCAAGATAAAACTTTAAAGGCCGAGAAGCCACTTTGATTTTGTTGGCTATTACTGAGTCATTTGTCATGAAGTTTGCCAAGAGGAAAAGAGCTAAAAGTTGGCTTTGTGGACTATCACCTGTTTGCCCATAGGTGAACTTCAATAAGCCACATTGTCCCATAACTGCCAAAATACATTCGGAAGGCAGTTTTATCAATTTTGTTTAGAGCATATCTAATTTGAAAGCTTTAGAACTAGCAATGATTTAAGCTGGATCTATGCTGTCAAATAATGAAGTTTGAACTGTATTACATGGTCACTGTAGAGACCTATAATGCAGTTTGAACTGCACTCAACTGCATTATATGGGAGTGCTTCTACTCTGTCACAAAATATGTCTCAAATCAGCATTAAAATGCCAGCTCAGAGCAACATTGTGGTCACACGTGCCTACCAAATGCTGCCCCAGTGGTGGATCAGCCACACAGCTCTGCTGTGCCAACACTGGTTTGGCATGGCTGGGAATGAATAGTGCCTCCCGGGCCCCCAATTCCTAGCAAAATGATGAGAAATCATCCTTATCATAACTACAGGCTGATCTCTTCCTAGGACTGTCTCACTAAGGATGCAATGAAGTTTTGGAGTCAGAAGTCCCCCTCCCTGCTCCAAACCTCCGTCACATCCCAAATAATGCAGATCCAGGAAGAGAATGACCTGCAGCAATGTCAAGGGCAATCCCCCATAACTTTTGTGGGGAATCGGGGTGCAGGGAGGTTTGGGGAGACTGCCATGGAATGACATTTGGGATTGTGCGGGGCAAATCCAGGTGACAGTATCCACTGTCACAGCACCCACAAAGATTAAGATTTTCCTGGAAGATCCAGATTTTTGCTGGGTGTTTTTTTTTTCTTTGTCTGGAATAAAATATGGATTAAAAGGCTTACCCTGGGTTAAAACACATTTTTGGATTCTTAAACTGAATTATCTGCCAGTGCTGATGGGCCCTTTGTCTACACTGATAATATAATGCAGTTCAAAGTCCATTAATTGGCCATGTTGAATTGACAGCCCCTGAAATAACTGATTCCATGTCTATAGTTTTCTAACTTATATGCCCTACAAGCATATCGACTACTGGAACAGACATTTATTTCATCCTGTAAAACTTGATGTGTTGCATTTTACTTTTTAAAATGTAACACAATACATTTTACATTTGAAAAATATCAGGATAGGAAGAATCAGTCCTAAACTTCTGTAGCTTTGAGAGGAACAAAATAAATACACGCTAATGAAAATGTTAATTGAACTCCTGACATTTAATATTTGAAAATGAAAAATTAGAGCCCAGATGCAACTTGACACATTCCTACCACTGAGTAAAACATGCAGCTTGTGAACTTCGAATGGTGTTTATGTTGCTGAAAATAAAACCTGAGGCTAAAGGGATTGTGATTTATATAAAGCAACACATGTGAAGTTTCCTCAACACTGCTGGAGTTATAGGAATATTATACTGCTTAAGATGGCATCCAAGGCAATTTCAGGGATTACAGTCATGTCACAAAATGTAGGAAGCTGCTTTATATTGAATAGAATCAGTAATTCATCTAGGTCAGTATTTAACCATGACTGGTTTTCAGGCAATATTCTCCATTGCCTTACCTGGAAATATCAAGGATAGCAACTATGACATCCTCTACACGGAGTAAGCATTTATCCCAGTGGCAATGAATGGCTTTGATGTCAGTAGGAGTAGTAATCCCATTGTTATGCTTCAGTATAAACTTCAACAGAACAATCCAATATACTGAACATTATTTCATAAAGAGTTTTAGTACCTTCCATGACTCCACAAAAGTTGAGGCTGATCCAGAGTTGATATAGCATCCCATAGGCTACAGGCCCGTCCACTTAGACTAGCTGTATCATTGAGTTAAAGGCTCTCCTGCTCTTTCTGTAACTACAGTCTCTTGCTTGAGCAATATCCTCAAGGAAACCAATTTTCAACTAAATATTAGGAAGAACTTCCTGATGGTAAGAGCTGTTCAGCAGTAGAACATGCTGCCTTGGAATATGATAGTGTTTCCTTTGGAGATTTATAAATAAAGTCTGGAGTGCTTTGATTGTATCTGCCTGCATGGCAGAGGGTTGGACTGGATGACACTTGTCTCTTCCAACTCTATGATTCTGAGATGTCAGCACAGACTGAAATAGAGCTGCTTACCCACTTCTTTGTTCCACTTGGTCCCCCTCTATGCTACAAAGACACGAGACCACTACAAACAGTAGAACATCAATTACAGTAGTAATAGTTTTTTACAACTTATATGCTATAATAATGGACCTATACAGTGAACGTAAAACTGTTGTACACACAGAGTCTTACAACAATGATTCCCTTCTGGAGAGGAGTGTAAGATTATTCAATAAGAGTCCCAAGTTAGTAACCATATATCCTTTGCAAGAAGACTTCTCCTTGAGGGCGTACAATCCTTATTTTCTTGTAAGTTGAAGTTTGTAAATCCAAAAATCTATAAACAGATAGATGGAGCTTCCACTTCCTAGTAGAGGATTTCCATGTAGAGGATTTCCAATTCCCAAACCGGTTTCAACTATATTATTAATTGTTCCTCAAGTGGAAAAATATGAAATTCACAGAATGCAATGGAAATCAAGTTCTCCAAAGTTAAATATTCCTCAGGTGGAAAAGTATGAAATAACAACAATGAAGTAGATCTACAGGGAATATACACAAGTGGTCTCGTGTCTTTGTACTTTAGGGAATTCATTTTCAGTTTAGTTATCCCCCTCTATGCTACCATACACCTAGCTTTCAGCCTATCGTATTGTCTCCTTGAGTAATCCCAGGTTTTTTTCTTGAATTTTGGATCAGCACCCGAGTAACTGGAGGAAATCACAATAATCTTCTGTGATCAGGAATATGCCAGCATCCTGGCATAATTACAGAATACCCTCCTTGTTACGCATACACATTATCCACAGTGACAACCACTCAACAAGCTTTTTTGTTATATTGGACAACTCCCACCAGGCTAAGCACTGTGGGAGCTGTTTATAAGACTGGCTGAAGATGGCCATCCTGATGAGGGAACCTACTGTGAGCAAGAAGCTGCAGACATAAAGGGGCTGTGATGGCTGTCAGATTAATTACCAGGGCCTGGGCATCGCTGGCATGTAACATTGTAACAGGCTGTCATTAGAATCCTACAATCTGCTAAAGACAGGTTTCACCAACAAGCAGAGAACATCAATGCGCTGAGAGCAAAGTGTTCTCGAGGTTTTTTTTCTTCTTCTTATGGGATAAACAGCCCATAAATTATGAGTCTTAGTGATTCCCACTACTGTTGTATATGACTCTACAACTAATTCTTTGGCAGCAACTCCATGAAAGTCTAAAGCCCAGAAATGACCCATGAGCATTATACCCCCCCCCCATTAAAGAGTTGCTGCCAGTTGCTAAAAGGGTGTCCTGAATTAGCATTAAAAATTCCCAGCAGCAAACAACTACACTGGAAAGCTTCAAGGAACTAATGCTTAAGGATAGGGACACATTATTCCATAGCAACCAACTTTAGATTCAGCAGAGCATAAAATGGCAATGCTTCAAAGGAACTGTGTCACTGTTTGCCAGCTAGAGATCCAATTGTGAAAGTGTTTTCTTCCCACATTTTATAATTTCACAGGTATTAAGGAAGCAGGATTGATTGCCTCTTATAGCCACCATGACAATCCAGAGGATGGTCAAATTTGTAACAGTCTTTTTAAAGTATTCCCAGTTCAATAAATAGTGTCATTCCGGGCACACACATACTAAGTTTGTTTTCTGTGTCTTATAACTGAGACCTACCCAACTCTTTCCCAAGATTCTACCTCTCTGTTTTAATATGAGGCTGGAATTCAGTATGCTTTTGAAGAGAGGCAGTTCATGGGCCAATAGGCTAACCCGCCAGCAAATAAGTATCTACAATTGGGTGAAGGTTTCACTGTGAGGCAGAGCAGCATGGATCAATGCTATTTCACAGACAATTGCCTCTGACACTAGAAACAGCACAGTGACGGCATGCAAAGACCTCACATATGCCAAGCATGGATAGAAAGATGGTGAAGCAGAAAGACAAGGGGGGAAAGGATGGAGGAAATGTCTCTTTGAACTGAAATTTTATGAGAGCCATTTACAATCAATGTTGTAGGGAAAGCCTAACAAGGAAAATGTCACTCTCAAATTTCAGAGATTGACAGCTTTCATAAGCTTAATTTCCTTTGATCATTTTGAGAGGTGCTGAATGACCATGGGGGGGGGGGGGGGGGAGAGAATGCAGACCCGTAATGGTGTTCTTTTCTTTATGTAATTTCACATTACTGTTTGCATAACAATATCTCCACATTATACAACAAGCCTTGCTTTTGCTTAAAGATGGAAGGAACTTCTGCACATAAGCAGTAATCCCAATGCAAGAATAATGGCTGATGAAGATCCGTGAAAAAACAAAAATTGACAAATGTATGACGATAATTAAGAAGCAATCTTTGGTCGACTTTAAGAAAAATTGGTACCTATTCACAATGATGTACAGGGACCTTTATCAACTTTCGGTATTCATGGTTGCATCATTGTTTTAAAAAGTGGTTCCCAACCTTTTTTTTTTTTTTACCAGGGAGCACTTTGACCAGTGACCACTCTCCAACATTAGTACCAAAAGGGTTACGAATCGGTTTTTGGTCAACGTTAGATTTGGTTTGGTTATTTGAGGTGCTGATTCAGAAAACTGCATTGGATAGGCCACATCAGCTCTAGTTTCTGATACATAACATATGCCATCTAGTAGTTTCTATCTGCTCACCCAAATAAAATTATATTTAATAATCTAGAGCTGGAATGGTCTATCCAAGGGGTTGGGGCTGATCAGCAACAGGGAAGAAGTGGCAGGTTGTATGAAAGGAGAAGAAATAAAAGAAAATAAAATAAAGAGGGAGGAGGCTCTCAGACCAGATTTTCATCCTTGTGGTCTACTGGTAGTCTACAGCCTACAGGTTAAGAACCACTGGTTTAAAGGGAGGAAGATGCAATGTATAGTTGTGTCATTGTGTAGTTTTACATATTTTAAATTTCTGTCTGTGTTTTTTTTCTTGAATAGAATATTTATTTAAAGCCTAGAAGGTTATGACTGCATAATATAAACTAAATTTCTCTTATAGCTCAGTTTAGCTTGAATTTCTGTTTGTTGATGAGTGAAGCTACATTATTATTTCCAACATAATTACATCTAACCCTATGTGCCTAACATATTGTACTAAACAATTATAGATAAATTCCAGCTACAAGTTTTGTATTAGGATGAACCACTTGAACTGTTTATTTTTTACCTTCTCCACACTGCAGTTTGCTATACATGTTAAACAGAAACATTTCCAAATATGGCTTCTTTATGTATTAATGTAAATCACATATGAAATTGGCACAATGTTATCATTTTGACGTTTTGTTTAAAAATACAGATTCCTTTATTTATCAATTTGTTTACTTTAAACATTTGTATACCATCCTTCATTCATTAGATTCCACAGCAGTGAACAGAACATTGTATCATAGTACATTAACATTGCAGAAGAAATGAAAAATGAGGCAGCAACTAAAAATATACTGGAGACGTTTCTCAAATTAAACTGCCAGGAAAAACAAAAATATCATTTAAGTTAGTAAAGAAAGCGAAATGCAAGCCAACATTTTCTCATTAAGAGAGGGCATTCCTGAAAGAGGGGAGGGGTGGAAGGGACATTAGCACAAATTTTGCTGCTTATGTTGTAGTATAGTATAATTTTGATAAACAAGGCATTTGGAGAAGAGATTCAGGAGAAGATCATAGTCAGCCTGGTATGGAAAGATGTATCCTTGCATATACTTGGGTCTAGGGCCATCTAGAAGCAAATAGACCCTTCTTTTAAAGTTTGCATAATGTGAACAGGCCTGGTTGTACCAATTACACTTCTGTCAACTGTATTTTTCTGTAGCTGAAGCTTCTAAGACATTTTCAAAGGCAGCATCATGAATAACGCATACATTCACACTATCTAATCAGGAACCAGGATTTGGGCGGGAGGGGGGGGGATTGCATTATGAGGCAAAGAACAAGATGGAATCATCTCCTATTCCATATACAATAACTGAATGCAAAGGATGTTGAATGTCTTTCCCACTCTGGCAATGGTCCAGCATCCTCCATTGCAACTGAAAGTAACAAGCTATCTTAGGAGGTGGAGGAGAGGCTGTACAATTGTACTCCCATGTATTTTTACCATATTCCTGGTACTAAAAGGGGCAATATCAATCTGCCTAATGGCACACCAGCTGTAGCTGGGTAAAGTTGCAACTAGTATACCAATAAAAGCTGCCAAAAAGGCACTTCATGCCCTGAGGTCAAATCTAAAGCCACAAGTCTACTCTTGTGCAGCAGATTGAAACCCAGAAACAAACCACACATAGCTTAACTATTTTGTTGTAATTTGGCTTTAGTTTGTTGTGTATCATAGACTTGCTTACCAAATTCAGGCACAAGGCCAACTTCTGCAAAGATTTTCCTGACCCTCATGGCAAAGATAAATCAGCATAACTCCTCACTCAAAAACCTTGGATGACTCTGTCCTTTACTTCATACAGAAGTTTTAAAATGTGGTAGATTGGATGGATCTCAAGTTACAAATATTATCAGATCAGACAGAAATTTCCAATTGTCATCTTTTGAAATGACTCTAAAAGAATATTTCCCACATCCACTGTCTGACAATTCAACAATTCACTTGAAAGCCATAAGTATGTCATAAAGCCAAACAAAATCATCCAGAAAGGTGTTGTGGACAGCTTGGAAAACAAGGATGAGAAGATGCTGGTGCTCAGCAATTGAGCTGGAGTCCAGCCATGCCCAGCAACTCTCTCAACCAAACTTTAAAACAGCACACATGGAAGGAGCTATTACATCTCAGCCTGCAGAACAAATGCAAGCAAGTTCCTCTGAGCAGGCTGAAGACGAGTTAGCTGTTCCAGGTTACAGGTCCTTGAGCTTAGCTGAGAAGAGAGCCAGCAATGGGTAACATCTGTAAATTTAGGAGTTCGTGGGTGGCACCTTGTTGCTGGTGCAATGTCAGCTCCAGAAGCTACGACTTTAGAATATTCCTATCTTGTGAGCCCTGGACTTACCTTGAACCTCAGCTTATGGATTCTAATTCAGCCTTGCACTCTGGGCATTCTGGTATTCGGCTTACAACAACAACCACCACAAAAATATTCTTTATTTATATCCTGCACCCATCTCCCTGAAAGGACTCAGGACGGACATTTGACTTCTATATTTGTGTTATCCTGTGAACGTTGCCACCTCTGTTGGACTATTGGTTTGACTTGGACTATTGATGAACATTGTGCTAGTTTTTGGCATTGAGGCTTCTGACAAAAGGGCAGTCTCCTTTCTATCTATTCTATATATTTTTCTATTGGTCCAATACATGCACTGTCAAAGACCCAAGATATGAACTCACTGCCTCGGAAGTTGGCAAACAATGCATGACAGTTTTAAGTATGGACAACCCAAGCTCTTCTAACTGGGCTGATCTTCTCTTCATTGCCTTCATATGACAAGATCCGTAATAACAGCATCTTGTGAATCATCAGCAAAACACCTAAAATATCGGAGGCTAGGTTTTAAGTCTCAGAATAAAATGTAAAGCTTAAGAAGATGTTTTTTACAGAACGCTCTCAAAACAATCAATCTCCCAGCTCCAGAGGGCACGTTTCCCAAAATGCATGCCCTTCATACACTTTGTTTAACTTACAAATGATAATCTGAACTGTAATACAGTAATATGAACACCCTAGATCTATGCTTTTTTTTTGCCCCAGGAAGATGAGTAAGAAAAGTAAGAAATCAGTAAGAATAACTGGAGAGACCAATTTTTACCTGTAGCAACAAGTAATCCAGGAACTGTTTCTTTGCTTGAGATACTGCCTGATGTGTAAGGATTTTCAGAGATTTGAAGGTGCAAGTGCAAAGAACAGAAGGGCTAAAAGGAATGAGAAAGAATGGAAACACAAATTGATACAAGAATGTTGAATTTATAAAATAATCTCATCTCTAGGTATCATAGTTCACTTTTTTTAGTTTGTAGAGACCATGGAATGAGCTTCATAAAAGGAACCAATGTCACCATCAACACCATGCCACCAAAATCACATTCTTCCCTACTTTTCCTGCAATTGTGGAATCTATCTTTGCTGGAAATTAGATAAAAGTCAGAGTCTGAGCATTTTCTGAAGCCCTGTAAGGGTTTTTTCAGTCTGAATGACAGCTATAGTTATGTTTTTTCACACAGTATGGTATCATCCAGTGCTATCTAATTTCAATTATTATTGTTTTTTTCTGTTATTTATATGTATATTAAGGCCTTTAGATATCCTTATAGCCACACTACACCGCCTGGAATGACTAGGATATAAATATGCAAATCAATAATATTGATCCCAAGCTATCAATCTGCAGAACATTTCAAATTGGGCACAATTCTATAGTCAACATTTTCATTTCCATAATGATTCCTTCTGGCCTGAAAAGTCTGTGACACCAGATGTTGATAAGTTATTCACTTGTCAAACAAAAGATGAAATAACTGATGCAAATTAAGGGACTAACTATGGTCTTAGGGAGGCAACCCATGGATTTCAATTGAATTCCTTTTCTATTAGAGAATGAAAACCCACTAAATATAGCTTAGAAAATTTCACCACTGACCAGCAGACAATGTATGGGGTCTCCTCTCAAATCTGAATCTGGAGCCTGTAGCAAGCGCCAGTCTCTCCCTTTGTTGTAGGTAATGAACGTCTTAATTTGGTCCTCCACTTTCTTGTTAGCCAGGAATATGCCTTTGATCCCTGCTACCTAGGAAAAATGATGAGAGATGAAAAACCTCATCGGGCACCCAGGCATGCGCAAGGCACAGTCAATAGAGCACACATGCAGCTAAATATGCTGAAAATTGGCAGCTACTATTAAGTTGTTTACACCAAAACCAATAACACAGTAGGAACCAAGTTATGCCTCTCTGTTTTCTTTCTTTCATGGTCACTTTTAGCTCTTCACATTTGCATAAGACCAGTAGCACCAAAGGATTCAAAATGTTGTGAAAACAGAGGTCCTTTGTCATGATAGCTAAAAATGAATACAGTTTCTTAATAATTTAAGTGGCTGCAATTTCTTTGTCCACCAGTTTTGACACCAATGATATCAATTCCATCACCAGATAGTCCAATCGCAAATGTCTAAGTATGACATGAAAGGTTTCAGATAATTTGAAGCCTTACGTATGCAAATTACTCATTACAGAGTTAGTGTAGAAACTACAATCCTTTAAAAAAAGGACTGGATGGGAAGTAAAATTTTACAAATCAAGGTATTTCACACGCACACTTGTATTGTTAGTTTTCGATGAAAAGTGTGTTGTTGGACTACTCTTTTTTGGCAGTGCAGGAACCATATTCCTATTCTTTCAATGTTATTTTTGCCTCTGGTACCAAACTTGATGTTAGAGAAGTAGTGTCCCGAAACATATATTTCATTAACTCAGTGTTTCTCAACCTAGGGGTCAGGATCCCGGGGGGGGGGGGGGTGCAGAGGGATCGCCAAAGACCACCAGAAAGCACAATATTTTCTGTTGGTCATGGGGGTTCTGTGTGGGAAGTGTTGTCCAATTCTATCGTTGGTGGGGTTCAGAATGCTCTTTGATTATAGGTGAACTATAAATCCCAGCAACTACAACTCCCAAATGTCAAGTCTATTTTCTCTAAACTCCACCAGTATTCACATTTGGGAATATTCAGTATTTGTGCCAAGTTTGATCCAGATCCATCATTGTTTGAGTCCACAGTGCTCTCTGGATGTAGGTGAACTACAACTCCAAAACTCAAAGTCAATGCCCACCAAACCCTTCTAGTATTTCATCTTGATCATGGGAGTTCTGTGCATCAGGTTTGGTTGAATGCCATCGCTGGTGGAGTTCAGAATGCTTTTTGATTGTTGGGTATTTGTGCCAAATTTGGTCCAGTGAATGAATATACATCCTGCACATTACGTTTCATAACAGTAGCAAAAATACAGTTATGAATTATGAAAATAATTTTATACACACACATATTAATTTACTTTTGGTGCTTGATAACATAGTGATTCATTTACAACTTCTACTTTACTTACAACTTCTACTTTACTCAACACACTCCCCAATGTATTTCCTTCTCCTTTCAAATGACAGCATCTTCTCCCAAGACTGTCATTCTCTGTGATTGCAGGCAAGCTATCAAGCTGGGATTGGAATAACACTATAACATCTTCAAGAGTCATGCTCACTAATCTCTTTGATTTTCTCACCTATTCTCAGTGAGTGACCTTACTCTTAAGGAAAGGAACTTTATCACTACATTGTATGATTTCTTTTTAACAGGCAAATAGCCATGCATATGGCACTCTGTATAAATACACCAAATAGCCACCACAACCTAGTGTCTTTCAACCTTCATATTTCTTTTTATATTTTATTATACTTTTAAATGTATCTCATGGTTGATTAGGTTGCCAAAGATACTCTGCTAGCAAAAAGTATAGAAGGACTGTTCTCCACCATCCTTTCTCTGTTACAAAACTCACATAGGTGCTCAACTCGTGTGGGTATGTTTTGACACTGGTTTAGGACAGTTCATCATTAGCAACTTCTTGTACTCAGGTTAACATGCATGTTCTCAATTCTGTGGCTTTGCCATCCCCTGCAAAGTTACAATGGGTATAAGAATGTTTCCTTGAATTAATTCAGAAAATCATTCTTATTTTATGAAATGGCTTAAAATTGACTAGGGCCTGGATCTTGCTGTTGAAACACTTAACACAAAAGGTGAAAGGCCATCTCTGTGCCTGCTATTCTGATTCTTTTTTCTAAAGCCTGCACCAGCTTGATTTGTTGCACAGCATAGAAATATAAGTTATACCATAATCATCTTGCTGAATTACTTATCAACTGGCTCTCTTTACCAGCAGAAAAAAAGGAAAGGCATCTCAGAGAAAGGTAGAGGAAAAATGAGTGTAATTTCAAATACAGAAAGAATTTCTTACAAAGGCTTCTGACACTGCCCAAGCAAAGATAGAGACCTATTTTTGAAATCCACAGGGGAAGTGAGCACAAAATATCCTATCAAAAAACAAATTGCTTCTTAAGAACGCAGTAAGAGGACTTTAATCTCATCTCCAGAGGAATTCCTCTTTGGCAGCAGAACTCCTCAAACTATTGCTTTTGCCATTTTCTGCATAATAGCAACTTAGCAGGCCACATTCTGGTTTTCTTTATTCATAGACATTACTCACTTGTGCTTCAGCTCTGATTCTGAACTGTGCTCCTGCATAGAAAGGAAGTGGGGGGCATAACTATCCACCCCAAACACTGGAAAGCTAGACTAGGCCACAGTACACACGCACGCACGCACGCACACACACACACACACACTTTTGTGTACTTCAACAATTAGTGAAAATATTTCCTTTAAAATGAAATATAACAATCCACTGGGTTGCTGACAAAATTGTGTTATTGTTTTTTTATTCCTTTTTAGCACTCTCTCTTTCTACACTTTCCTTTATGTTGCTGCCCTCCAAGAAACATGGTATATGGATGACCAGAACCTGCCTACTAATCAACTTCTTAGAAAGAGGAACACAAAATGTGCAAACACATAGGTGATTAATACAAAAATCACGGCACTCAAATCAAATGGTTTGGGATAGTTGGTCTACCCCAGGGTTTCTCAAACCTTTTCAACTGCAGAGTCATTTTTTAATTTTTGTGGAGCCCCAAGAAATATTATATTATCATCTATCTATCTATCTATCTATCTATCTATCTATCTATCTATCTATCTATCTATCACAGTTATGGGCCAGGTCAATTTGCGTGTTTGTGAAATAATTACACAGTGTAAAAATAAAAAAGGGAAAAAGGAAGGAAGTAAAAACAATACAATATTTAAAATGAAGAACACTTTTTACTAACATAAACTTAACAGTATTTCAGTAGAAGACCCCAGGGGCCATCCAATCCAACCCCCTTCTGTCATGCAGAAAAAACACAATGAAACCATCCCAAGTGATGTAAGGGAAATAGGGTTTTGGAAGCAAAGAAATGGAGGGGGGGGTCTGGATGGAGAGAAAATGAGTGTGGACAGTGAGGGAGGCAGGAGAGAACGGGTCTGTGCCCTGAGAGGATGCTGCTGTTTCCAGCAACTGAAAACTTTAATTTACCTGCATTTCTCAGGAGGAGGAAAGAGGAGGCAGGGAGCAGCATGAGGCTGCAGAGCCCCTCACTATCACTTCTGCTTGTGTTTCATTTCGTTTTGGTTTTGTTGTTTTTCCCAGGGGTGAAAAACATATTAGGAGAACTTAATAGCTAACCTCTAGTGAATTGTTATTGAGACAGATAATGGATTTACTAACCGTTAACTAAAGTCTTAACTCCTTCCTACTAACTTTCCCATCTCTGATTTCATTTTAATAGAACTCAAGTCTGTGAAACAAAACAGTTTTGAGCCCTGGAATTTCTTTTGGTTGTCAAAACTGAATGTTCAGATTCCTCCATTCAAAATCTAGTCTGGGTTGCTTTCTTCATTTCAACTTAAGGGAATTTGTGGGGTTGGGGGGATAATTGATGGCATTTCTAGAATATCATGACTCAGAAATCATTGTATTGCAAAATTAACAAGACCAACAAAATTAACAAAATTAACAAGATCAGTAGTTTCTGTTCTACCTTCTGCTCATCCCTATGACTGTTAACATGCAACAAGACCTTTAATTATCTGGCAACCTGACTGGCCAGTGATATTTACCCCTTCAAAAGGAAGAGTTCACTTCAAGGTGACTTTGGATGCATACCTCATACAGATCAATAATGACATTCCCCTCAAGTCCTCGGTTGCTCTTGACATTCTCCAAGGCTAAGGTGAAGTAGACCCCTCGGGTATCGGAGATGTAAAGGTTGTATGTGTCATTCTGGTTCCATTCCTGAACTGCTGCAAACACCTGATTCTCATCTGTGCTGATAATATGCATGTCCTGTTAGGGAAGATAAAAGACTTATTATCTTCAGTCTTTATATTTTTTGCCCTTTGGGACATAAAGCAATTACCATGACTTATGTCACAGCAGGGAAGGGCCATGAGATATGAGTTATGTTAAACAATTTTCCATTAGACCAAGCTAATAAATTACCATATTCATGCTTCTCTTATTTGTGTGTGTGTGGTGTTTAATTTTAAAATGGCTACAGGGTAGATTAAAGGAAAGGAGGATCCCAGAGTCATTGAAGGAGCTTCAATCTTTCCCATTTTTATTTATACATTCTCACATGCTATTGCTCCTCCAAGATTCAATACCTCAGAACCTAAAGGGTTTTCTTCTGCACCCAGAAGATAAAGACAACATAGCTGTCAAACTAATCAGGAACACAGAGCTTTCAATAAGGAAAACTCAGCACCAGCAATAGGGAAAAGGCAGAAGTGTCCAACCATCCCATTATTACATTCAGAATAACTGCTAAATGAAAAAACTAGCGCTCATTCCACAGCAATATCTGTCTTCCTGATCTTGGACCTACTTTGTTCTTAGAAAACAAGAGCAATGTATTCATTAAACTTCTATTCTGGCACTATCTGATGTTCATCAGCACAACAGCTTGAGGTTATGAGCCTGCTGTTTAGCACCTGCTACCTGGCAAAATGAAATGAAAAGAATTTTTTCAGTTGCCCTATCTTTCAATAAACCAGCTGTATTCTTTTTTTTCACCAGATGAAAGCTGAAAGGGTCTCTAGCAGGCTTAAGTATAAAGTGAGACAGTAGAATATATTATACTCCAAGCTAAACACTGCTCACCAACTAAGAATGCGATCTCCCAATAAGAGCTTCCTATCTTTCTTCATTCTATTCCCTGGAACACAGGGGGTGGCAAGGATATTCCCAAGCATTGTACGCATATGGCTGGTGGGTTGTAAGGGCTTTGGGTCATAAGGACTTTGAAAAATAAGAGCCATGCTCAATTTTGGATTTGGTCCCTACAACTTATGGGAATATTACAACTTGCACATGATGCAATAGCAGCCTCCACAGGATGTGCCCCAACAACTGAAAATAGAAGCATGCTGCTTCTTGAAATAAAGGGAATATATTCACATTATCAAGTCTCATGACTAGTTACAAGCTTTGTGGGCATAAAGCAAGTATATTATTAGACAAAAATATAATACGGAAAGGTATTTCTAAATGAAGGAACAGAAATATAAGGAACAAACTCAAATCCCCTCTTTTTTAATCAAAATCTTTCTAGTTATCCAGATTACGTGCACATTTACCTTTGGCAGTGAGTACTTGGGCAATTTTATCTGCATGAAGGGTTCCCTTTTGTAGGACACATAGTAATTTGCTCTTCCGCCATCAGTCACCTATAGAAATACCAAAGAAAGGTGCAGTGAATGTCTATTAATCACATAACATTCTATTACTCCCTGGCAAATCTGAATGAATCATATAATTGATGATCATGGCTGAAAGAAGTCAGCCAAACCTAAAATTAAACTTTGCAGGCTTGAGACAGTCAAAATATAATCTACAATCACATTATTCAAAATTTTATCTCACTTTCTGTTATTTGTTGAATACATAACCACGTGCTACAATTTTAACATGATTTTTCTACTGCTTTTCAAGAAAAGGGCTGCAACTTAGGGTCACTTGTTCTGAAGCATGCTTTTCACTCGAAAAACAACCCTTTCTTTTCTCTTTGAGGTCTTCCTGGACAGATTGGTATATAATTTGTTTTAACAATTTCCTGAGCATCAAAGCCAGGCTAACCTGGGGAACTATAGTCTCATTAGTCTGACTTCAACACATGGAAAATTGTTAGAACAAATTGTAAGGCAATCAATTTATAACCTTGGAAATTGCTAGCTGCCTGCATGGATTTCTTAAGAACAAGGCAGGTTAAACCAATCTAATCTCTCCTTTTGAGAAAAGTTGGTTTCATGGACAAAGAAAGTATAGTTGGCATAACCCTACTCTACTTCCAAAACAGTATTAGAGGATAGAGTCAGAATAGATCCAAGGAACACTGTCAAAGGTGAATTTAAAAGGGAAAATAATCCATTCAACATGTTCCATAAGGGGACACTTCATAGCCAGTTATTTCTCTTGTTGACTACCGATTACAAGTGGTAATTGAAAAAACATTTTCTTCACTTTATGCAGACAACTGTATTTAAATTAAATATGCCGAGGTAGAAATGGAAAACAAGAGAGGAAAAGTCAGTAGATAATTGTTCTCTTTTTCATACTGAAGCACCCTGACTGTTTTCATTCTGTATATCAAATAGATGTATAACAATGTAAATTATTAATTGCGAAGTATGAACAAAGACATTGACAAACAACAAATTGAAATTTAATGAAGAAACTGTCATCCTGAGAAAATATAGCTGCACAATTAATTCATGGAATCCAAAATACAAAACAATTTCCAACAGAAAGTTTAAATACAAGACATCTCCTGATTTCTGATTTTCTTTGGATGGTCTTCTTAGAAGCTCCACATAAAAAACATTAACTATTTATTGATGATTTTTTTTAAAAAAAACAAAACCTTATTGGCGAAGATTAAAATGCAACATATTAAGTAAGCATTCTCTCTCTCTCTCTCTCTCTCTCTCTCTCTCTCTCTCTATATATATATATATATATATATATATATAGTATGCAGTCCCCTTTTGAAAGGTTTCTGGAAGCTATACTGATCCAGGAAAGGGAAGTGATTGAGGAAGACAGGAAGACAAAAAAGCTCATTGCAATCATAGAATATATGTAAAACCTTGATATCGTACCTCATGCCACTTTCTGTGCTGCTTTTAAAAGGTCATCATTTCTTTCTCCTCCCATCTTCCCCCATTTGCCTTTTGTTTATTTCAATAACTTCAAATTGAACCCAAACTGAAAAATTGTTTGCTTTAGAGGATGGGAGAAGAGATGAGAGGAAGGGTAGACTCAGGAAAAGCAAACTTCTGCAACTTCTTCTAGCTTATATGTTATTTGCCATTAATAACCCTTGCCATTGTGACCATATTCTGTTGTCTCTTGACCACATGTGTCATTTATGAAAAATTGGAGGATATAACACCATATCAAAATTTTCAATTTCGATAATATGAACAACATGACAGCATAGAATCTTTATTTCTATCCATGAGGTACACTGTTGATAGACAGACAGATAATTAGAGAAATAGATAATATACTTTTTTAAAAGAAAAAAGGATATCACAAAATGTAAAGGTATAAATGAAATAAACAGAGCACGGACATCCACTCTGTTTGACCTGAAGATATTTTAATGCACTCATTTAACCTCTCTGAACTTCACCAGTAAGTCCAATAGATATTTCTTCCTGCATATGAACTTCATAAATTCACCCAGATCTTCCCTTGCCTGAAATTCATTAGCAACATGCAAATGTTGAAAACTCCTTTAAGAAATATAATTAGACTTGTGGCAACTGCTCTGAGTTAGTGGTACTGCTGGGAAAGCTGAGAGATGAACTTTGATTTGTGTCCAGATCTCAGCACTGCCTCAAAATATGTTTCCTGCTTGCTCCACAGTTATTTAGATCATACTGCTCTCTGTTCCCAGCAAAAAGAAAACTCTTATTTGAGAAATAAGAGTGGCAATAGGCAGCAGTAAGGGCTCATGTCACTAGATCAGTGGTTCTCAACCTGTGGGTCCCCAGATTTTTTGGCCTTCAATTCCCAGAAATCTCAACAGCTGGTAAACTGGCTGGGATTTCTGGGAGTTGTAGGCCAAAACACCTGGGGACCCACATGTTGAGAACCACTGATAGTGACTTGAGCCCTTACTGCTGTCTATTGTTACTCGTATTCCTCAAAGAAGAGTTGAGACACTGCACTAGATACAGGAGAGGCCTTTCGGTTGTCTCCATAGATATAAACAATAGCATGTGTTGGGGATGAGTTGCATCCACATGATAAACCTATAGACTAGACAGACACTCAGGAATGGGAAGCTCAGAGACAACCGGCTCTCTGGATGCCTGACCCTTGTCTAAATACAGTACCAACCAACCAGAATGAAGCCTGCACATCCGGGACACTCTGGCCATGGTCTGGGAAGCCATCTGTTAATGAGGGCCAAGCAGGTTTGCATTTATTCATCCAGAGCACATTCCTGAGCTGAGAGCTGTTCGAGAAAAAGATGGAGCAGGGGGTGGCTACTTATTATTTATTTATTTATTTATTTATTTATTTCACAGTTTTGTATACCGAGCTTCTCAACCTCGTTGAGGGACCCAGCCCGGTTTACAGCCATAAAAACATATACATTCATTAAAATATCATATATCAAAAATTACACATCAACTTTAAAATACACTAAATATAAAACTACAGTGGTCAGTCGTCCTATTAAGATGGATCT